AATAATAATAATAATAATAATAATAATAATAATAGTAATAATAATAATAGTAATAATAATAATGTTTACATTTTATTATGCATATTTGTGAATGTTAATAAATTTTTAATTATTTTAAAAAATATAACCTCAGATAAATAATCGTTATATATCTATAATTGATTAACTAATAAACTTTCAATATTTCTCCATATTTAATTTTATTATTTTTTTATCTAATAAATAATAAATTTAAATATATATAGGAATCGCTAATTGTGCCATGCTATAAACAATTTCTATAATTTTTCTATTTAAGGTTAGAATATAAAATATAATTTAATTTAGAGTTCCTATAAAAATTCTAACCTTAAATTATTAGAAAAATTGTAATTAAATCATTATAACAGAAAAATTGTTATCATAGTTATCATATTATAATAAAATAAGATTAATTAAATAGGTTAAGAAAAAAAACTTATGAACTCAATAATTAGAATATATATAATATTTTTTTTATTCTAAAATAAAATCGATACGTTTTTCACGTAATTTCATACATATGACAAAAAATAATGCTAATCATATAATTTGATGATATAAAAATGTTTTTTATAACTTCTTATCCTAATCTCAATGCAATATATAAAGCTTAATTAATAGCTAATCTGTAAATAAGTGTACAATCATTATTATTTGATTGTATTTATATTTGTATAAAATATATATATTTGTCCATAAATGATATATTTAACAATATCTTTCGTTAATATAAACAACTTTTTAACAATAGATGATATGCCTCAAGTTTCTCATAATATTTTATCTTTATGAAAGTTATATGGTTCTTTAATTTAAGTATTCATTATACAGTTTCTTTACAAAAAAAATATCTACGATATTACCAGGATCATCTTACCATTTGCTTTAAATAAACCGTGACGTCATCCTCTGCAAGCACACGCGGATAAAATGAAATGTGAATTAACATCCTTTTATTGATCATATATTGAAATGTATTGTAAATAAATTTTATCATTAACAATTTATTGTGCTTGTTAATATTAAATAGCTATAATCAATATATGTATATGTATATTTGCTGGAATATTTTTGCAAATATCAAGCATTATATATTATTAAATATTTTTTACTTAATTTCATACATTTAATATACAAATGTTCTAATATAGTAAATACAGTAATCAATAAACAACAATTTAAAAATAGTAAATTTCTTTCTCTATATTTGTTATTAATATTTTGATAATATCTAAAATTAGATATTATAATAAGATGTATTATATAAGATATAATATCGAAATATAATTTAAAAGCAAATTAAAAAATATGTATTCATTTGCACATATATAAACCTTAGACAATACTTAGATTATATAGGAATTAATAAATTTAAAATATTTTACATATTCAATATTCAATATTCAATATTCAATAGATTATAATATATGTAATGTTTATAAATATTTGAAAAATGATTAAAAAACTTAAAAAGAAACAAAAAAAATTAATCAATTTTATTATCTATAAAAAAATGTAATAGCAAAAAATCGCTGAAAAGTAATATGTCAAGTTTTGAGAAGATAGAATGTCTATTTAGATTCCACGTGTCGTTGTAGCAACGGTATATTGTCAACATGAAAGATGTATGTGTATATGTTCAGATGTTGACAGGTAGTCGTATTGAGGAACCACGTTTCGCCGGGTCTGCACGAGGCGCAGCTCGTAGAAAACAGAAAGCACGATGTGTACCTTCTAGGCACTGGGCACTGGTACAACATAGCGAGGGTAACGTGATTGGACGTGGTAGGAAATCAAGTGAGGAAACAACGAAAGATAAAGAGGGATAGAAAGAGAACCTAACGAGAGAGGAATACAGATAATAGAAAGAGAAAAAGAGATGGAGTATATAAAAGAGAGGGGGAAATGATACGCGCGAGTCTGCTGTCGCCGCCACCGCGACCGCCGCCGCCACCCATAACCTCAAAACTTACCTCTGTTGACTCGGGCTTCGACGATTTGTACGTCTTCGTCGACACTCCTGTCGGTCATCTTCTTCTTCTTCTCGTTAACCTGAATGTCCATGCACATAATTCCACAACACAAAACAACACTTCCGCCACACGGTCACGCTACCCCTACGTTCCCGTGACATTTACATTAAACTGTATGTGCGCGCGCGCAAAATTCACACTTACGGGGGGAAAGCGAAAGGGTCGTCGCACGAGGGCGCCGCGAAATGCGCCTTGCCTTAGAAATCTATTTCGTGTCTATACTTGACAATAAAGATACACGACAATGTGCACAAATAATCTTAAACAGATCGTATAGAACTGTTGTCGATTGCTCGTTTTATACGTATACGCAATTCTCTCGCGGCCCGCGTTTTCTGCTGTTTTGTGCGGAGGTGAACCGAGAGGCCGACCGGGTTCTGTCCAGATTTGAATGTGGTACACGTTGCCAGTTCTTTCTCGTACCCCCCTTCGTCCCCCTCCCACTCGTCCTTATGTACTTAACGGTTGCGACGTTGCCGCACATCCGGTACCAATAGTTAGGTAGTGGGGGAAGAGAATTTTGCAAAGGAGTGGGGGATGTACATAAGTACCTGACAACGCCATAGTGGGGACTTTAATGGGGAGGGGGTGAGCAGGGGGTATGTACATAGAGAAGGGGGCGGGGGTTGTTGCTCGGGAATGGGAATTTCCATGACGCTTCAGGGCAACAGCGACCGTTAGCTAGGTCACGTGGTTTTACCGGAAGTCGTAAGGGCGACGCGCCATGATGTGCGCGCCCTCTTTTTCCGTTTCAAATTTTAGAGTTTCCGGAAAATTTTTTTTTTTTTAAATGAAATTATCTTTGTTACAAAATATCACATTGTATTTTACATTTATTTTTTTATTCGGACATTTGTTATTTTTATTTGTAAATAGATTTACAACTGTTTCCTTTGAAATGTCAAGGACGAACTAGCGTGACATGAAATGTAACTATATACATCATTCATATTAGAAGCAATGTAAAGAAAACATAACAAAAACAAGAATAATATAAATAGTTTATGTAATGTTACTTCGTTGAAAACTATAGAAATTACAATTGTAAAAAATTTTTGGAAATGAGTACTTCAAAAAAAATGTAAATATTTTTAAAATTTTATAGAATTAGATCCTTAAATGAATTTTCTGTAGTTTGGTGCAGTAAATAGATATATAAGTAGATATATATAAATTCCAATCTAAAGTTTTTTCAATAAAAGACATTTTTAACATCATGAAAAAAAATTATATTTAATTTATATATATATATATATATATATTATTTATTTATATAAAATAAATTATATAATATATTATTTATTTAAATAAATAAAAAATATTATAAAAATAAATTTATCAAGAAAAATTTAATTAATAATGCAAAAATGCTTCTATTTC